AAAAAAAACCAGCATGTGTGTTCCCCTATTCCTTTGCTTTATTTATTTATTTATTTATTTAACTATCAAATTCGTTTATTTAATCCTGTTTCTACTATATATTCCATTACTATTCTTTGATTACTACCTTCTCTTAATAATTTTCTTAATATCCATTTTATCTTATTTTTTTCTTTATTATTACCATTTAAGTTCTTTATCATTTTAATTCTCTCTATATCATATTACCGACATTTTAATATTACATGTTCAACAGTTTCTATTACCCCACAAAAAGCACATTTACCTGTAATATGTTTACCTATTTTGTATAGTGATGCATTTAGTCCTGTGTGCCCAAATTGTAATCTATTTAAAATCAGCTCATCTTTCCTACATCTTCCAAAATTGTATACTTCAGTGGAAACTATTTTTTTAAAAATATACTATAAATTAAATATATAATTATACGAAAAAATATACATAACGTTAAAGGAAATGATAGTGCTGCCCTGGCGATTTTCTTATAATTACAATAAAGGTACGACCATTTCATTTGATTCATGAAATGCCGTATGCATTGCCGCCACTAGAAGGCAATATTATCTTGGTAGTATGCTGTTCTTGTGTTTGAAATACTAAAAGGTTCAGTCCAGTGTATACACCCTTTTTTCACAAAAGGAGATTTTATATATTCAAGATGGATGATTTTTATGTATCATTCCAATAAAACCAAATGTGACACTTTTATTTTTCTCATCACCTTTTTGTTGTTTTGGGAATTAAATTAAATGTATTTATTGCAAGAGACCAAAGCACCTGTTTGGAGAACATTGTCAATAAAAAAAGAAAAGAAAACAGAGTTTTTTTTATTATTATTAATGAATGAATGGTTGTTATATACACTCGAGTTTGTTTCAAAATGTTGGATTGATATGACCACAGAATGTGAGGGAAATAAAGGTGGATGGGTCTATTAAATGTGTTATCGAGTCATATTGAACAACATTCGTTTGTGATCGATTACTCTACTTGCCACTACTATTGATTAGGTCAGCCATACAGGAGCCAGGAAAAGTAATCGAGCAAGGATCGCATTGTGTCTGGTAGAGAAACGCTGTCAAAATGACTCTTGGTCGGTTATTTTTGAGGACTTCAACTGTCAATAAGAGTGAGTACGAAAATGCAAATTATGCTGGGCGTACATTATAGTCTAAGTAAATTTCCTCTGTTCATTTGTTTTATTCGCCTTATGAAAGTTAGCAAAGCAGTGTGGCCTGACCTTGCTTAGCTTAGCAAGACTAGCAACACAACAGCTGAGCCCATACATTTATTTCATCGCATGGTGAAATATTTATATAAGTAGGATTAATCAAGAAAATTTAGTTTTTTTAAAAATGTGTATATATATATATATATATATATATGTATATGTATATGTATATGTGTGTATATTAGTTGCTTATTCGTGCTTTACACTCCAGTCCAGTTGGTGGCGGTAAATGCACCAGAAGTTGGTTTGCCATCCGCAATAAAACGTTATTAGAAGAAGAAAAATAATTTATATAAGCAATAAATTGCACAATTTTTATAATTAGCCATATAATTAGCAAATTATTTTATAATGTCCATATGTTATGTTTTAATTGCTATTTTCAGTTGTGAATTACAGCAAAGGACAATGCAAATGTATATATTTTTTTATATCTTGTTGTTACATTAATGTGCATTGCATCTAACAAAATGAAAATATTGTGCATAATAACGTTTTAAATATTTGGAAAACTCCCACCAGTGTGTTTTATATTAGTGCTGCTGGTTAATAAATCAATTCATATACAAACTAGCAAGTTACAAGTTAGGTATCAAAACTGTCCACTAAACCAGACATTGTGTTAAATATAAAAAGTTTTGAGGATTGCTTTTCTCTCTCCTTTTAGTGATTAGCAGAAATTCCTTTATAGCTTCTAAACCGGATCCCTCCAAGCCAAACATGCTGAGAGTAGGACTAGCATTTGGGAGCACAGCTGTCTTGTGGGCATTGGTAACTCATTTTGAATGATCTCTCAAACATACGCACAAACGTACTTTTTTTATTCTTCTAAACACACTCTCTGTTCCCCACCAGCTGTTTAAACAGCACAGCACTGATGTGCATGAGTACAAAACAAGGAATGGGTTAGAATAATTCATGAGGCCATGTAAGTAAAACCATTAATTCTCTCTAAAAACTCTTTATTCAGTGTTAATGTAATTTGTAAATTTTGATGCCATGCTAATGATGTAATAGTATCTATTTTTTCCCTTTGTAGGGCAGCAATTGCTCTGTGCTTTGCGGATCTTCTTTTGTGGATCTGTTTTTCCTGTTTCAGTGTTCATCTGCTTGTACAATAATGTTTATTAAAGATGTGTATATATAACCTGCCTGTAGTCACTCTCTCTTGACTCCAGCAAACATGAGTTGCAGAGATAGAAATATAAGTTAAATATATGGTTTAAAATTTTCCCCTTCAATTAAGTCTAATGATGTGATTTATAACCAAAACAATTACAGTATCATTCTTGTACTTTGTGTATGCTAATTAAGTAAATACCTATGGTTAATTCTTTCTACGGGATCAGACTTTTGAAAGCAACATTCAGTGACAACAAACAAGTGCTGTTTCAAGATTCAGTTTTTAATATTAAATAAGAGTCAGGTTAATGTGGTCAGGAAAAGCAAGTTGAAGATTTGAGTAAAAATATTGCCTTTGTACAGTGGAGAACACACATGGACACAAAACAACAAATATGTTGATGTTGGAGTTTGGTGCCCCCCAAAGGGAGAAATCCCCCACGATTTTTGCATGGTGGGTAAACACATTACTGCTAATAAATTGGCCACAGAGCTCTGGAGATTGTCTGTCTTATTAATCACTGCAGCTTTTCTATACACAGCAAAGCATACTATTAAACAGAATAGTATAATAAACATTCAACTGAAGCTAACAGTAGTTAGACATGTAACACAAAAAACATGCAAAATTCTGGTAACGTTAGTATTCAGTTATGAACCCTAGAAAACAACTATTAGAAAATGTTCTATATAGGTTCTTATTAGTTGTCTCACCGCTGTGAATGTTAGTGGAACGTAAGAATTGGGATAAAAATAAACAGAACCATACAATAACATTAGGGAAATGTTCTGTTATTGCTGGTGCCACGATAAAGCGTGGCTAAAAAGACTATTTGAGTAAATATAGATAGTTTTGCAATGCAAGTAGCATAAATTAAACAAACAATGTGGTTGGTAGCGTGCCACGGAATCCCAGCAGTGGGAGGACTCAGACAAGCGCTTTCTCCTCCCCTCATGTTCACTCCTCCCCTCCAACTGTCTCCGCACTTTCAGTCATTGATTGCGCCTCCATTGGACTCGTCTCGCACGCTGCTTTCCTCCTGTGGCAGTTTTTACGATGTTTGCGTGCAGAGCAGCCTGGCAGAGGTGTGGGCCTCTGGCGCGACAGTCCTTGTACCGCGCTCGGCTCAATAGAGATGGTGAGCTCCAGTGTATCTGTCTCGTAAAGTTTCATTTAGCCTGTAAATCATGTAATTTGCAGTGCGTTTTGGGCTTTAATTGTGATATTTCACGCTTTTCGACTATCGCTTGCAATTAAAATGTGCTTGAGCGAGCTGTATCATATTTTACAAAAACTAAAAAAAATTTGGGCAGATGGCATGTGGTTTAGGGTTAAGAGGACATGAAGGTCAGTCTCAACATCGGATCCTATTGGTGCTCCACATTTTTAAATGGCTTTCGAGATACGTTTTTAGTGCCAGACAGAAGTTACACGCCTACTATACTAACACATGTTGGCATTGTCATTTGCAGGGAACACAATGTACACATCTCAAACAGCAGCCTGGCACCAAGCACACAAAAATGTAGCCATCTTGGGCACTGCAGATCTGCACTAATAATCATTTTGCAGAGATGTATTATTGGGGAAAAAAAAAAAACATTGACCATTCGTGTGCATTTTAAACATTGCGAAAAGTTTGTTGTAGGCTCTTGAACTTGATTAGATTAATGATTGTTCTGTCAAATTCATTCCGGTCGTCACTAAATGGATTATGAAACACGAAATTGCGTAATAGGGAGTCAGTTGAAATTTGACATTTGGCATCATGGTGTAAGTATTCTGCTTGATTTGTGACCTTCAGTGCTCTAAGAGTGCCATAGCATGTTTCCACGTACAGCTCACGTGGTTGTTACGTGGTCGAGCTATAGACGCCTGCGCGCGGACCTATGGCTGCTGTATGGCAAGCCGTTTACATTTAATCCTTAAATCTTACTCTATTTTCATGCTACTAGTACATATTTTTTTAGATACTTGTATCCATTCCGTTAGGTACTAATATTATTTTTTTAGGTACTTGTACCTTTAAAATATATCAGAATTGTTTCATTAGGTATGCTACTAATAATTATTACACTGACTGATTTTTTTAAAAGTTGTACATAAAGCTAAAAGATTTTTAGAGTATGATTTGCAAGACTATGTAAAATTTTACCTAATTATTATGTTTAATTCAATGTTACTTGCTGTTCCTTTGTAATTATTTGTGAAATTTTCTAGCAATTCGGAGTGAAAAGTTTCACAGTAAATGCTATATTATTTTTTTCCAGTCTGAATACTAGTTTTAAACATATACTATTGCTTATGTATTAGATACTTGTACTTGTTTCAATAATGACTAGTAAGTATTCCATTGTTACTAGTATCACATTTTTGCCATTGACTTCTCTGGGGATCTGTCATAAAGTAACCAATTTGATTGTATTGGTTAAATGTATGTGAAAATCTAGGTTAGGATGTTTGTAATGCAGTTAATAACAATATTACATGAAAATGTTGAAATAAGCATAGATATAATCACACCGCCTGACCTGTCCACTAAATATCTCCTCAAATAGCCATGAGCGGATGGGACGGTAGGCCTACACTTGTCAGATACCACTTGCTTAAAGCCTTTCGTTGTAATTCTTGTTCGCTCAGCCGTTCCAGTATCAAGCTGTGATAAATCTTTTTGCGGAAGGAGATTTGCTGGTTAGTTGGGTTAAAAAGTTTATGGGTTTCAACAGACATGAGGTTGAGTAAATTATGTTGCAAATAGTGAACTTTTAATGTAGTTGTTAAAGTAAAAAAATATTATTGGACACTTAAACTTGTGGAATAAAATTAATATGACTGACTGCAAAGTGCAAACTAAAACTAAAAACATTGTTTTATTCATTAATTCATTGTTTTATGCTGCATCCACAGTATAAGACTAGTATAAGTCAGTATAAGACTAAGACTACTGCCATATTGTGAAGACATGAGGTTGAGTAAATTATGTTGCAAATAGTGAACTTTTAATGTAGTTGTTAAAGTAAAAAAATATTATTGGACACTTAAACTTGTGGAATAAAATTAATATGACTGACTGCAAAGTGCAAACTAAAACTAAAAACATTGTTTTATTCATTAATTCATTGTTTTATGCTGCATCCACAATATAAGACTAGTATAAGTCAGTATAAGACTAAGACTACTGCCATATTGTGAATTTTTTTTTTATTGGTAAATATTGTGTGAAATATGAGTTTACTTTCATTTATCTCTTGTTTGCGGTTGTTAAATGGTATTATGTAAATATAGGAATTATATCAGCTATTGTCAAACTAAATTAAGTGTTGCGTTCCTGTGGCTCAGTGGTAGAGCAGCGCAGAAGGTTGTGGGTTCGATTCTCAGGGAACACACATACTGGTAAAAAATGTATAGCCTGGATGCACTGTAAGTCGCTTTGGATAAAAGCGTCTGCTAAATGCATAAATTATTATTATTATTATTATTATTCATTATAAATTAGATATTGTCATCAGCATCTGACATTGAAAAAGTTACATTGGTTCCTAGTAGTCTAACTATGTATAGCCTGGATGCACTGTAAGTCGCTTTGGATAAAAGCGTCTGCTAAATGCATAAATTATTATTATTATTATTATTCATTATAAATTAGATATTGTCATCAGCATCTGACATTGAAAAAGTTACATTGGTTCCTAGTAGTCTAACCGAGCATGTATCGCTTTCCGTTTGGTTCACCCTTTGACTCCTGGGAAAGATTAACAGATTAGCTGGTATAAATAACACAGAGGTGTCTAGAACCTATTTACTCTAGCTGGGCATGAGTGACTGGATTATCTTAATGAGAGTATTGAATCTACTCCTTAAAAAGTCTACAAAGTTTGTGTCAGAATGATCTTTGTCCTCCAGTCCTGAATGATCAAACTTCACTGATGGTTTTCTAAATTTAAGTTGCTCCCTGCCCTCTAACTTTTTTTTAGGACAAGGAACTGTCAGCACTAAGGAGAGGTTTTTGATAGTCATTGAAGCATAGAATATAAAATGAAATAATTGGTGATTATGTAAGAAAACAGACAAAATAATGCATATGCATAATTCTTTTTATGTACTGAGAAATAATTTACTGATATGTATACCATTAAATAAACACACAACTGCTGCAGTAAAACTTGTATATAGAGGGTTACAAACCTGAATTTTCTATTTTATTTTGAGTCCACTTAGTACTTCACATCCATAGTGTAAAATGCTGTTCACTTAAGATTACCTTCACCATATTTTTGAGTTATGGAAATAACACAATGCATATCTAGATGAATGCTGAAAGGAATATTTACAGGTACCTAAAACCATTGCCCAGAATCCAATCAGGCAGTGACCTACTGGGCAGAGAGCAGCTCTGGTTTGACTGCCATGAAAGTCTATCTGTGTCAGACACTTTGACTAAAACATTATTATAAAACATATTTCAAAGTTATATTAAACTATTAACTTGATTCAATCTTGAAACTGAGAGAGGGAGAAAGTATATCTTACATTGTTGCCTCAACTAATAATGTGCACACATCCAAAATCTTGGTCTTACTCCTCTGTTCTCTGTGCAGTAGTTCCACGGAGGCTCATGTCGTCAGTTCCTGGCGGCTCCGGTGAGAATTTCCTTTATGTCGTTCTCTGCGGTGGAGCCTTCGCCGGTGCCGTGGCATATGTAAGTCTGATTAAAGGGGTCATATGATGCGATTTCAAGTTTTCCTTTCTCTCTGAAGTGATACAAGCTCTTGGTGCATAAAGAAGATCTGTAAAGTTGCAAAGACTAGTCTCAAATCCAAAGAGATATTCTTTATAAAAGTTAAGAATCAACCACGCCTACCTAAAACGGCTCGTTCTAACACGCCCCCACATATCTACATCACTATATTGAAATATTAGCATAATGCCACCCAAATGTGCACGCAAAGAAAGAAGGCGTGGTTTCAGGAACAGCAGTAGTGTTGATGCAGCCATGTCAGGGAGACGCTGTGTGTTTCAGTGCGAAAGCAAAAGCACTTTATTTGGCCTTCCGGAAATAGATGCAATTAGGAATCATTGGTTAAGGTTTATTTACAACAGAACAGCACAACCCAGATGTTCGAATTTGTGCAACGCATTTTATGGACGACAGTTTTTTTTAACCTAGAAGAGTACAAGGCTGGCTGTGCACAAAGGCTATTTCTTTAAAAAAAAGGGTAAATTCCGGCTTTGCTATGACAATCTGGCGCTTCTGAATCAGTGACTGTAAGTATGTTTTATTATTACTTTAAGTATTTGCTATTGACTGTTCAAAT